TGGCAATACCCGCCGGGCCCGCTGCCTTTTGGGGGGGTGCTGGGGGTGCCCCCGTGTCCCTCTCTCCCCGTGTCCCCTTTCCCTGCCCCGTGCTCCCCGCCGTGTCCCCACGTGCCTCAGTTTCCCCAGGCATGGCGAGAGGCGCAGGGAGGGCGCGGGGCGGGTCCCCTTTGTCACCCTTGGGCTCGGGGGGCTCTGTCCCCGCTGTCCCCCCGATCCCGGCTCTGTCCCCCCTAATCCCGGCTCTGTCCCCACTGTCCCCCCCGATCCCGGCTCTGTCCCCACTGTCCCCCTCGATCCCGGCTCTGTCCCCACTGTCCCCCCCATCCCGGCTCTGTCCCCGCTGTCCCCCAGCACTCGGGGCCGGGCTCGGTTCCGGAGCTTTATTTGGTTCCAAACGGGGCAGCCCCGCGCACACCGGGCCGAGGGGGGGTCCCGGGGGGGTCCCGGGGGTCCCGTCCCCGCTGCAGAGGGCGCAGCTGGGGACGGGGCTGGCAGCTCGGTGTCCCCGGGCTGTGTCCCCAGAGCCGCGGGGCTCGGGACCCCCTGCCCGGGCTGAGGGGGGGTCCCTGGGGCGGGCGAGGCTGAGCACCAACCGGGAGAACCGCTGGGTTTGGGGGGAAGGAGTGAGAGTGAACCGGGAACAGAGCGGAAACCCCCACTCGGTCCGGGGGTCCCTGGGGAAAGGGAGGCTGAGGATGATCTGGGACACGAGTGGGGACCCCCTACTCAATCTCGGGGGTCCCTGGGGTAAAAGGAGTGTGAGAAAGAACTTCAACAGAGTAGACACCCCCTGGTCAGTGTGGGGGTCCCTGGGACTGGTGGGGATGAACCGGGAGCAGATCCCCCCTCCCCTCATGGGGGGCGGTCTAGGGAGTCTCCCGGAGCCGCCGGAGGATGAGGATGAACTGGGACAGGAGTGGGGACCCCTACTCAGTTTCGGGGGTCCCTGGGGCAACAGGAGCGTGAGAATGAACTACTAACAGAGCAGGCGCCCCCCGGTCAGCGTGGGGGTCCCTGTGCTGCGATGCACCGGGAGCAGATCCCCCCTCCCCGGTCCAGAGGGGGGTCTAGGGGGTCGCCCGCAGCCGCCGCAGGATGAGGATGAGCTGGGGCACGAGGGAGCCCACCAGCACGGGCCCCAGGGCGTAGCGGGCGCCCACGCTCAGGTACCAGAGCGCCGTGTCCTCGCTCTTGGGCAGCTTGTGCAGCACGTCCAGGGCCAGCAGCCCCAGCGCGGCGCTGCCCAGCGGCGGCTCCAGCGCCCGCAGCTCCTCGGCGGCGCGGCGGCTCAGCGGGCGCCGGGCGGCCAGCGCCAGCCCCAGCGCGCTGCCGCTCGCCCGGCACAGCGAGGCCCAGGGCCGCGTCTCGGGCCGCAGCCAGCCCGGCTCCGAGCACCGCGAGCTGGCCCGGCCGAGCGACCTGCGGGGCAGCGCGGGCATCGGCCTGGGGCAGCCCCCCGCCCGAGCCGGCCCCTGCTAAACCCGGACACGCTCCTGGAAGCAGAGCCCCGGGGATGCTCCCTGGGTACCCCTCCCCGGTGGGCACATGCCGGGGTACCCCCTGAGACCCCCGAAGGATGGTCGCTGTGGCAGCCCTGTGCCCTGTGAGACCCCTGTCCCTTGTGAGACCCCTGTCCCTTGTGAGACCCCTGTCCCTTGTGAGACTCCTTTTCCCCCGTGACACCCCTGTCCCCTGTGAGACCCCTGTCCCCCGGGACCCCCCTGTCCCCCGGGACCCCCCTGTCCCCTGTGAGACCCCTTTTCCCCCGGGAGCCCCTGTCCCCCTGGGACCCCCTGTCCCCTGTGAGACCTCTGTTCCCTGTGACACCCCTGTCCCCTGTGAGACCTGTCCCCCTGTGAGACCCCTGTCCCCCCGTGACACCCCTGTCCCCTGTGAGACCCCTGTCCCCTGTGACACCCCTGTCCCCTGTGAGACCCCTGTCCCCTGTGACACCCTTTTCCCCTGTGAGACCCCTTTTCCCCTGTGAGACCCTTTTCCCCCGTGACACCCCTGTCCCCTGTGAGACCCCTTTTCCCCTGTGACACCCCTGTCCCCCCGTGACACCCCTGTCCCCTGTCAGACCCCTGTCCCCTGTGACACCCCTGTCCCCTGTGGCAGCCCAGTCCCCCTGTGAGACCCCTGTCCCCCGTGACACCACTGTCCCCCGGGACCCCCCTGTCCCCTGTGAGACCCTTTTCCCCTGTGAGACCCCTTTTCCCCCGTGACACCCCTGTCCCCTGTGAGACCCCTGTCACCCGGGACCCCCCTGCCCCCCGTCCCCCGGCTCTCACCAGTCCAGGTCCAGCCCCGCGGCCGTGGCCAGCCCGTGCAGGGCCAGCGCGCCCAGGAGCAGCCCCAGAGCCGTCAGCAGGAAGAAGCGGCACTTGAGGAAGTTGGGGGGCCAGCGCTGCAGCCCCCAGCCCAGAGCCATCCCTGGCGGGGGCACAGGCGGGGTCGGCACTGGGACGGACCGGGAGGGGGCCCGGGGAAAGGCTGCGGCGCCCCCCTCACCTGCCAGGGAGCCGGTGACCACCTGATGGGGGAAGTGGGCCAGCACGAAGATGCGGGAGAGCCCCATGGCCACCAGCAGGACGATGTAGGCAAGGAACGGGGTCAGCCTCAGCAGCCGGCTGGGAGGGAACGGGAGGAAAGCACGGCTGAACGGGGCAACCAAAACTGCTGGGGGGCTTCAGGGGCTCTCCCGGCCCCTTCCCGAGCTGCCAGAGAAGGGATGTGTCCCCTGGAGGGAAGGACGGGATCCAGCCCCTTCCGAGCTGCCAGGGAAGGGATGTGTCCCCTGGAGGGAAGGACGGGATCCAGCCCCTTCCGAGCTGCCAGGGAAGGGATGTGTCCCCTGGAGCGGCTCTGCAGCGAGGGAAGGGATCCACATCACCCTCCACGGGCGCTGGGGTCCCACATCCACCCCCTCTTCCACTCTGGAAGCTCCCAAGGGACGGTGTCTCCATCCCGGGACTCGTCCTGCCTCTCCCCCTGGTTCTGCCCCACATCCCCAGCGCTGCCCCTGCCCGTGCCGGACTCACCTCCGGGTGCACCGGGACACCTCCTCGCTCAGGGCGGTGACAACCGGCCACAGGGCCGCCGCCAGGATCATGCAGTGCCCCGAGGGGCTCCCTGGGGACGAAGCACAGGAGAGGCGCACTGCCGAGCCCAGCCCTTCCCCGCCGCTCAGAACGGCTCCTCCCGCCGGGACGGGGCTCCCGGGGCTCCTCCCGGGGCTGCCGAGCCGGGACTCACCTGGGCCCGTCTCGCAGGTGACCGGGAACTGGCGCAGCGGGAGCTGCTCCCGGCTGGAGAGCCCCGACTCGTGGATCCACCAGTACGGGCGCTCCCCGAACAGGAACCTGCGGCAGGGACAGCGCGGGGCTGGGA